GACTGGCAAGTTTTTCCGCAAAATCATCTGCTTTTGCGGAAAAACTTCCCAGCAGTCTACACTGGCCGCTTGAATTTCCGCAAAAGCACTGACGATCTCATGTAAGATTGTCAGTGCTTTTGCGGAAATACTATGCTGCTCCCGTTCGGGCAAAAGTCTTTTTCCGAAAAACTTTTGCACAAAAGGGCCAGTGTAGACAGCAGAGATTTGTTTTCCGCAAAAAAGCTCCGATTGTGAAAATGGCGATCGGGGCTTTTTTGCGGAAAAGCGCGCCTAGATTGGCCATGGACACTTTTCTGCAAAAAATGCTTTTGCGGAAAAGTGTCCTGCCAATCTAGATGCGCTTTTCCGAAAATGCTTTTAACGGAAAACTTTTCTGTTAAAAGCATTTCCGGAAAATCATGCCAGTGTTGACGTAGCCAGACAGTTTACATCAGCTGTGGATTTAATCCCAATTCCAGAATGTTTATCAGGTCGAAGTCAAACCTACTTGAACCTCGTGCCGCTACATGTCTGTACAGTCTTCCCTTGAAGCATTCGTGCTTGTAACATTTGTGAGAATTGCAGGTGATGTGAGGATGCCTGGGGTGGGGTGAGCAGGCCATGTCTTGGCATATGGGATGTGTTTGGGGTTAGCCACAACATTAAAGAGGAAAATTGTGGAACTAAAGGAAGGACAGTGCTTTGAAACTTGCCTTCCTGGTCTGGGGCTTGACAGCTCTGTACCAAATTCACCTTAGAAGGAATTTGTCATTCATGTTAAAATTCGACACTCTCCGTGGGGGATTGAACAAAGACTCCAACTACCTTACCTATTACCAAGATAGCTTCCCCAGTTATCACCTCTAATACCATTAGCTCACAGACATCTAACTTTCCCCACCTCTAATATCAACTCACAGACACTTACCTTCCTTCCTCCCCCCCCCCATCCCCCTTCTGTTCTGAAATGTGATTTGTCCTTTTCATATGTGTTCATTTTTTTTAATTGTATCCTTTGGTATATATGGTTGTGACTATTTTCTTCCACTATTTGATCTGAGGAAGTGGGTCTGGCCCACGAAAGCTCATCATCTAATAAACTATCTTGTTAGTCTTTAAAGTGCTACATAGTCCTGCATTTTGCTTCAGCTACACCAGACTAACAAGGCTACATTTCTATTACTCTTAGAAGGAGGTGAAACTGAGTCCATGAAACTTGCTGTCCTTGGGTTTCTCCATCTTTGTTTTCAAACAAGCTCATTTGCCCTTGAACCCTATGCTCTGAGCCCAAATTTTTAGTCTGTTTCACATTCCCTGTATTATGTTGGATTGATACTGAAAGTGCAGCCTCCACATTTGGGGCTGGTCTGTATTTATAGATCACAGAAATCAGCACCTGTTTCTTCATGCTTCACATTTGTTAGCAATTTAATTGTAGTTTGTATTTATAGATAGTGGCTCTTCAGCAGTCTCCTGCATTCTGGACTCCATGCTCCCAAGAGCATGTGGGCAGAGCCTGTTCTTACTAGGGATGCAAGCAAGTAGTTGACTAGCCAACTATCCAATAAGCATATGCTTATTGGATAGCTGACTAATGACTTGACTAGTTGCTTCTGTCCTCCCCCCCTCCCCTTGCTTCCTCTATCAGACAGCCATGAGGAGAGGCAAGGGTGCAGCGGGGAACTGGCAGCACTTCTGCCTTTGAAATGTAGAAAGGGCTCAAGCAGTCTCCCGCTGGCCCCTTGCTTGCTTGCTTTGCTTTTGCTACATTTCAAAGGCAGAAGTCCCCTTATCGATTAATCGAACAGTCAATGGAAATTGCATCAACTGTTTGATTAGATGATTAATATAAATGTAACTTCCTTAGTTCTTACTGCTTTGGTTCATGGAGCAGTGTAGAATGCTATTATTTAGCTAATCAAATTGAACTCTTTTTTTTTTTAATCATAGGTAGTTAAAATGGTGTCAGTTGGCAGGGGATTGGCTTTGGGGCAAGTGTCCTCCCTGCTGGTACTTTTGGAAAGGTTAGCCACTTAATATTTTGCAATATGTCATCTAGTTATTGTAGGCAGATTCAAATAGTTTGAAATATTAGTGCAAATTTATTGCAAAAGGGCATGTCTACACTGTACAGTTTTTCTGGAAAAACTACACTTACGTCCACACTGCAATTGTATTAGTTTGACAAAGTCGAAAGAACAGAGAGGTTTTTCCAACGGTGGTAAACCTCTTTCTACGAGGAAGAAGCCTTTTTCCAAAAGAGCTCTTTTGGAAAAGGGTGTTTGTGGACTGGGGAGAGGGAGTTTTTTTTAACAGAAGAGGCCTCCAGGAAAAAGCATAGGTGCCCTGGTGGCCACTCCGTCCACAGCAATCAGAACTTAGATGCAAGATAGCGTCCGCATTCATTGGATGCTGTCTTTCGAAAAAGCACATCGCTTTTTCTTTGTGCTTTTTCTGTGTAGATGCTCTGTTGAAATAAGCCTGCAGTCTAGACATAGTCAATGACAAGAAGGCGGTCTTAGTTTTAAGGCGCTGCCTGAGACTCAGGAGATCTGGCTTTGGTTCCTGACTCTCACAGATTTCCTACTGATTTTAGGCAAGTCAGTTAGAGCGAAGTTCTGGCCCTACTGCAAGCAATGGTAAAATTCCCATTGGATTAATTCACGAGAGCCAGAATATCACTCTTTGTGATTGTCACCCATCAAACGGGATGACGCTACTTCCCCACGACACGGGTATTACAAAACTAAATTCATTAATGTTTGTGAGATGGTGAGCACCATAAAATGCCTATGAAATCATTTGTTTAAATATACTGCCTGTCACTCAGGCAGATTCTACCTGTTACTGTCTGGATGACTCTTTCCACCATCCAGTGAGGAAAGGAGAAGAATTTGTAAAGCAGCAGTTACCATAGGACAACTACAGACGCTGGATCGTCTCCAAAATAGCGACCTCTTATCCAAGCCCAAGTGTTTTCACTCTGCCAGTCTACAGGCTAAGGGGTGTGTTCTCCTAGAGGTGGGGACTTTTACACATGGAGTTGGGATGACTCCTCCAAAAGTGTTATCTGTTTCTGGAGTGAACTGGTTTCTGCTCTTTGGTTTCTCTAAGCAGTGTTTGAAATAATCTACCGTAACAGAGACAGTGCCGTGAAGCTCCGTGTAGATCTTGATATGCACCCCAGTACAATCTCATGCAACTGTTAGCAACGTGTTTATTAAAGAGCAGGACAGAAGAAGCCCACAGCTACCAATCACGGTGTGTAAAGGACTGGAGAATAAACATCAGGGAATAATCCTGCACTAGTTAGAGGACTGGGGCAGCAGGAAATAGGTTAGGTGGCTGGGCAGTGACAGGACTTTTCTGTCCAGTTTTGTGATGCCGAGTGGCATAAGCAACTCATATTAGGCACCCCTTCTATAGCAAGTTTATTTGTGACCCAGGCCTTTTTGAGTCTGGCACGGAATCATAGAAATGTAGGGCTGAAAGGGACCTCAAAGGGTCATCTAATCCAGCCTCCTGTAGTGAGACAGGACCAAGTATGCCTGCCTCTGGCAATAGGAAGGAGTTCAGAATCATGCCAAGGAACTGGTGTGTGTGAACAGGCCAGGGGAGGAGGGGGCAGGTAGCCAGTGCGGTACAAAGTACTGGGTGTGGATCTGCTGGCAGAAGCCCTATGTAAGAGATCATACAAGGCTTTAGCTGCTGCTACTGACGTTGGGCTGTTATCTGCCTGTGAAATAACTTTAGTTTAATAAGTCTTTACTCTGTTACCCTTCCTATTATGATGTGCCTGGGCCTGGGCACGTCATGTGGTTAAGCTTTGATCTTGTGTCCCTGGAAGCATGATGGGACTTCGGAAGGTACCCAGGAGGATCTCATCTCTCATTCACAGGCCGCTTTCTTAGACTCACCTGTAAACCTAGCACTTTGCAAAGTTAAATTACTCTCAGGATTTTAACTCTAGTCATCGAGCTACACATCATCTTCCTTTGTTCACGTGACTTTATCCAAGATGGCTGATCACACGCGTGTACAGACCTGCGTTATCAGGAGAATTTGGGCCAACTGTGTCTGTGATGTTAGTCTCATTGGTTTCAGTGGCTACCTCGAGGGAGGACTAGGCCATTGGTGTGGCACTGGGCCAAAGGAATGAATTTTTCTTGAAACTATGTGACCCTTCCCACCCAATGAATTACTTTACTTGAACAGCCCTGTGAGGTAGCGGAGAGTTCTTATCCCCAAGCTATATAAGGGTAGATTGAGGCACAGAAATGACTTGCCAAAAGCCAGAGCAGGAACAGAACCCAGTTCCCCTCCCCATAAACTAACCTTTGTGCCTGCTAATCTGAAAATTGAGGAGCATTTCATTCTTAGCCAAAACACGAACAGAAGTAGTTCAGAGTCCAGTTTATTGTGGATATTGAAGCTGCTGTCCAGGAAACAAGAATTGTTCAGGAAGGAAAGCAATCTAATTTAGACTGTTTGAGAGCTACAATCAAAGCTGTGTGTACCCACAATGCTAGACCTCATGCTCCCCGCTGCAGCTTCCAATCGCTTCCACTGTCCCATGTTACCTCAGATTGAGTTCCCTGATATTCTTAGTGCAGTAAGTGCTACAGAAATCTACAAAAAATCTGTGCTGAACCAATTACCCATCTATTTCATTTTCTCAAAACAAGCTTATAATATTTTCAATACACAAGTCATTTTAAAAAAGACAGTGTTTGTAATGTATATTTTGTCATAGTGAAGGATGGAAAACTCTTGTAAATATGATAAAGGACTATGTAATAATAGCAAAAGATAAAGTCACTTGGACATGCCAAAGCGACGAGGAGTCCTGTGGCACCTTATAGACTAACTGAAGTGTAGGAGCATGAGCTTTCGTGGGCATAGATCCACTTCATCAGATGCATGTCTTTGCCGACGAAAGCTTATGTTCCTACACTTCAGTTAGTCTATAAGGTGCCACAGGACTCCTCCTCGCTTTTGCAGATTCAGACTAACACGGCTACCCCTCTGATACTTGGACATGCCAGGAAACCAAAGCAAGAACAAAAGATGTGAAACGTATTAATGGCTATAATGCATTTATTTCACACAAAAAAGAGCCATCAATTCAGCTAAATCCTTAAGCACATGCTGAGGTTCAGCCCTGTTCACACAAGAGCTTATACATGTGTTTACACTTCATTACAGCCAATGGGAGTTAAGCATGTGATTAAGTACTTTGTTGGGTTGGTGTGGTTTGCCGAATTGGGTCCACAGGCCTTGTTTTAATCCCATTAAGTCACTTAAAGCTTTGTCATTGATTTCAGCGGTAGTTGGATCCAAATTTTATTCTCCATTATGCTAGGACTACCTGCAGATGCAAACTGGGACATTTAATTTCTGATATTCAGAGCAGTTTCCTTATCCTCGGATTAGTCATTCAGTGACTCGCCGATCTATAAAGGCTTTTAATAATGCCTAGCAGATTTGGTCCCCTATTGTAGTGTCCTAAAGCTGGATTTTGGAGCAACTCAGATTCGTTTGGCTTAAATCTTGATGGTGTCGGCCAGTGCTGTAGAGTTTCTCTTGGCATAAGTTTAAAGTGTGACTTAATGTTAACTATTTTCACAAGCACTAACGTTTGCAATGATTTTTTTCTTTTGATTGTTGTCCTGGATGCCAAGTCCTCTGTCTGTACAGTCTCCCAACAGGCACGATACGTCCAGTGCCAGTGTAAACTTCCCCCACACTGCCCCATCTATGGACCGTGACCTTAGATGACCAATTGGAGAGGATAACTCTAGCTCCCTGGCCCTGCACTCCATACCCTACCTGCTGGGGCTGCCAACAGTTGCATCATGTGGACATTTGCTTGTTCAGAAACAGATTATGACCTTAACACTAATTTCACAAGTCACAAACCTGTCACTGGATGTTCTTTGAACACTACTGACCTGGGTTGGCTCTTATTGGCAACCTAGAAAGGAAAAGCCCAATATTATGTTCAGTCCCTGATCATCTGACCTGTTTTATTTTTGAATGCACCATTTTGGGGGGAAAGTTTCCTCTCTGCCTTGAAAAATGAAGGAAACTAGTAAGGTCTGACAGGACAAAAACAATTGCTAAACAAAATAACTGACTTACTATTTTCATCACTGTATCTTTCAAGTAAAACACACAGAAAAAGAGATTTAAAAACCTTTGCGTTTTAAAAAATCTGAACGCTGGGAGTAAAGATCATTTAAACTGGAACCATGGCTGGAACTAGAGATCCACTGGGAGTCTCCTGCTGATAGCCTGCTGAAAGTGAAGGGTTTGATTATTCCATGGACCCAATATATCCACATTGCCACAGAAAACACAGATCTCTGGAGAATACTAAAAGGCCTACCTTTGACAGTGGCCTCTGGTTTTCTGCCTCCTAAACAATTGCAAGGCCAGTGTTGGAGTGCACGTACAAATGTAAAGGCACTTAGATGTCTAAAAACCTGATTGCATCTGCAAATCTGATGGTTCAACCTTTTAAATGCGGAGCGTACATCCAGGTGCAAAATTGAAGGCCAGGTGGAGGCCCTTTTAAGATGAAGTGTAAAACACTCAGAACATTGTGACTCAGCTTACACCTCCATATAAGGGAGAAGGAATTCTCCTTACACTCTTATGGGGGCCTAAGTTCAAAGGAGTAAGTGAGGCTACTTGCCTGCTTGTGTCCTCCAGGGAGCCTGTAAACGGGTAGGGGCAAGGAATGAGCATCCTTGGCATAAAATACCGGTGGCCACACTTACTGGCCTGACCTCAGTAGCAAAATTGGTGTGGCGGGGGTAGCAATGGCTGCTGGATAGGACGGCTGTCAATTACTATGCCCAGAAGCAGAGGACGTCACTGCGGCCAGTTGCCTAGCAGCACTCACATAGTGTTGCATTTTATGTGCCACCCCCTTTTCCAAGACTGTTCCTGAAGTCCCCATGTTGCCCTCAGGGCTGGGGTGCCACTTCTGCAGTGGGTGACCAGTTCTGCCTCTCAGCAGAACCTCAGGCTGGGAAACCTCAGGCTAGGAGGGTGCTGGTCTGGCTGTTGCCCAGTTCCAAGTTAAGGTTCTAGTGGTATGGAGAGAACCATTTGGAATGAATAGCAGGCTTGCAGATAAAGGCCAGCTTGTATGGCCCTGGGATTACATTTGATCATCACCGCCTCTCATAGCAGGAGACTACACCACGATAAAGGCTGTGCATTAGTATAGCTAGCTCAGAATGGTAATAATGCTCATCCCAGGGTTCATTTCCACAGTGCCTTTGCTAGCCAGCTGGCCTTCACACCAGTCCCTCCGATTGCTGCTTTTTGCTTGCAGTGTATTTCCCTAGTGTGGTGACTTTAGCCAGAGAGCCCAGCTGATCTCACTGCTGAGTGAAATATGCGCCAAATGATTTATAAGTCTATGGTAAAAAGGAGAAAGGAAGCAATTTTTCAGTGATAGCGTGCTGTCACGCTTTTGTACATATATGTCTGATTTGGTAAGCAAGTAGTTTTAATGTGAGGTGGAATTTGGGGGTACACAAGATGGGACTCCTGAAAGGGGTACAGTCATCTGGAAAGGTTGATAGTCTCTGCTCTAGTGTGGCACTGGCAACCCTATGTTCTTGCATTGGTTTTTCCCTTTCAAGCTTTAAACAAGGGGAAGAAACTGGGAGACTTTTCCTTCCCTGGCCCTTCTTAAAGTGTATCAAATTCAGTGACTCCTATATTGAATTCTTCAGGCTAAAGTTTCACCAAGTTTCCACAAATACATCAACAATATTTGTGGGAATATGTTGACCCATGTAAACTTGCACCCATGTAAGTAGACCCATACGTACAATTGCCCAGTTTTCAGGCACACATGCTGGCTTGTGGACTTTGCATGTACCAAAGAAGGCACATGTGCATGAGCATGCACACATTTTGGGAAGCTTGGGTCTAACTCAGGGGTGGGCAATAATTTTTACAGTGGGACCATTTAATGAATTTTGGTATGTGGTCATGGGCCAGCACCACCCTGGAAAGGGCGCAGCCTGGAGTAGAAGGGGCAGGGCTGGGGACTAGCCTCCCTCCAGAATTCTCTGGGACCAGAGGCTTTGAATTAAAAACACAGCTCCGGCCCCTGGTGGGGTAATGCCGCAATTGGGAGCCATTAGCCATTTAAATAAGATCCTACTGCCTGAGCCACCACCTGGAAATTTGGTGGCATGGGCAGCAGAATATAAATAGAGAGTAGCCAGATGTAGTCCGCAGGTCGGATCAAAGTGAGAGGCATGCAGATCTGGTCCCTGGGCCACATCTTGCCCAGTCCTGGCCTATCTCCCCAGAAAAACATGTGCTTGAATTGTGTAATTCATCTGTGTGCAAATGATTGTACATGCAAACTGACTGCCTATTCGTGTAACTGATCATGAAAATATGGAATAAGTTTGTGCATTTTTGCCTGCACATTTGTCTAAAAGTGAACACTTTGGTCCCTCATGTTACTTTTGCTGAATTTTTCATGAATCACAGGGTGGGAGACCACCGACATTATTCATTTCTGAGACATAGGATTTCACAGTAAACTACTTTGTATTAGTGGTACAATGTGGTTCCTCACACTGGTGCAGTGTTTATTGTTAGCTACCAAGTCTAGCGATGCAGTGCTATTTGCTAGTGATCATTTGGACCTGTGAAAACTAGGGAGAGGAAATTTGTACAGGTTCAGATCTCACTGGAAAGATTTGATTGCAAAGGAAGGTATATTGCTTCCATTTGGGCTTCCTATCAATCCACATTGCTCAAGGAAACAGCACAGATCACCTGAAAGTCCCCCCTAAATACTGAACCACTTTGAAATAAAAGTCAACTGATGTTAAACACGTTTAGAAATGCAAAGCAGTTATGCCTCCCATCTAGTTTATTCAGGATCTCGTAGTTTTCTAAGCATGAGTAGTAATGACAGCCATTATTCTTTCCCACATGCAAAAGGCACAAGAAAGTGATAAACGTGATTCTGTGCAAAGTGTCTCTAAGAAAATACACAGGGAGAAAATTACTGAGAAGAGCCCCTCACAGAAGAGAAAACAAAAGCGTCTTCAGGAAAATGGAGAAAAGTTCTGAAAACGCTTGCATTTTTCAGAGTCCGGAGAAGCTCATTTGGTGAAAGGTGCTTTGCAAATCCAGGAAAGGAAATTGAAGGCCAAGAGCTGCACGGCTTAAAAAAAAAGCCGTCAGACAGAATTCAGCCTGGAAGTCAAAATGATATTGCTGAAAAATAAATTTGGCTCTTTGTCTTTTACAAAGTTAAACATGTAAAAGGAGAGGCAGAAGATGATACATTCTAAGAGTAGCTCAATAAAAATATTTGACTTAATGGAAATGATACAACATGGTCATTAAATCTTTCAGCTCCACCTTGATCTTGACGGGCTGCTGTGGCCTCTGCTTCCAGGCAAAACCCCCAGACCACAAGAGTGTAACAGTTTCTAAAAGAAGAATATCCCCCCTACTCACATCTGTGAAATGTGCGATGTGACCGATGTACATTTTGAAAACATAAAGGTACAGCACAACATATCCAAATCCCATAGTTTAAACGGGTGTTTTGAAAACTTTCCAGGGCTGCCATTTCTCTTGCACTAGAATTTGCCTGCTCGGGAGGTAATTTCACTCCACAACAGGCGTGCAAGCCCAGGCAGTGCCCAAGTGTGACACTCACCAGTCACTACAGTTTAATACTTTAACCTAAAAAAAGCCATTTACAAGTTGACTTATTTTTGCATCTTATTTCCTTGCAGTATAAGTTTCTATTTCTAGACTATGGAATGTTACATCAACAATATAATTATTCATATCTTGCTTCAAATTTCATTACAGTTACTGAGGATTCATTGTGATTTCACACAGCACAGAGACACCAAACTAAACACCACACAGCCAGCACTAGATGTATTTTTTCTTTAAATACCAATACGCGAAATATCCCATTCCCCCCAGAGATCCCATAAGGAAGGAGGCTCCAAAGAAGGAGGGGGGTTTCCGTTTGACAAGCCGGAAGGCATTGGGTACCACGGCTGAGAGAAGGGTAGTGTGTATGTCTCCCAAAACTTTCCTGAAGGCAAAGCGTTTTTGTATCCTGTCAAAGAAGGACTGTAGGTTGGGTCTGCTGCCATCTTCCCAGTATTTCTTAGAAAGTCCTAGAAACTTGAGGCGATGCAGGGTGGCTCCCAGCAGGATGTCGGCCAAGGTAAAGACGCATCCACAGAGCCAGAGTTCACACTTCTGCCCTGGAAAAATTAAGCCACAAAACAATCAAGATAAGAGCAAGCTGCTGGAAAATGGGGGCCTCGTCCAAAGCTCTTTGAAAGTAATGGGGAGTTTTTCCGTTGACTTCAGCAGGCTTTGGATCAGGCTGCAGAGTTAGAGCTCATTAAGGAGCTGATCTTCTCTAATGAGTTTATAGGGAATTGGATTGGACCTTGGGGAGTCTTAAAAGCAGCGCTCTGAGAACTTGCTGAATTTAGACCCACTCATGAGTCTTTCCGTGGGCGGGTTACAGACGGTGGTTCCTCATCCTGCTTCCAGCGAGGTTAGTGTCAGAACTCCCTCTGGATTCAGGGGGAAGAGAATCGGACTAGGAATGTGAATGGTTAACTGGTTAGCCTCACCAGTTCTAGCTAACCAGTAGGGGCCAGAGTAGTCGTGGGTAGGGGGCTGCTCCAGCCCTCCCTCCCAGCACCTGCCTCTTGTTTAATTGGTTAACCAGTTAAACACTACATTTATCTGGTTAACCAATTGAAAGGGATTTTATATCCCTAGCTCAGAGCTTTAAGTGCCCCAGCTCCAAACAAGCAGCTGTCCTGTGCCCTCAGGGACAGCAGTTAACACTTATCCTTGGCAGCTAGTTGGACATTGTGTGATGCTTCAGAAAGGAAGGAATCCTTTAGTGTCACGGCCAGCTCTGTTCTCTATTTTCTCCATTCGGGACATTAGAAGTGGTTGGGAATCCAATACATTCCCTGCATAGCATAGGACTCAGCATAGCTGCTGATCCAGCTCTTCCTGCTGCTACTGAAGAACTCACCTTCTGCCTCTTGAAACTCATGACCTCTGGAGGAAACTCTATTCCAAGACACCAGAATTATCAGCACATCTGTGGTGGGAATCAGGTTTCAGGCGGAGGCAATATTTAATGCTGACACTGGGTGTCCGAGCAGATACCAGAGGGTTAAAGGCACTCAGGCACAGGCTATCCTAAGCAATAATATCACAGCAGCAGTGGTCTCAAAGAGAGTCTGTAATGGGGTGGAGGCACCCTTGCATTGGTACTGGCCAGGATGGGGTCAAAACACTTCCCCAAACATCCTCCCATCTCTGCACTGAGCTCACAGGCAGGGGCACCTCCAGAGAAGCAGGTGAGCCTTATTAGTGACAGCAGCTGATTCCCTAATAAATGAGGTTACATAAACTCACAGAGGGGCCAGGCCTAGAGCTGAGAGTAGGGAAATGAGATATGGGGGAGAGGGGCAAAGTAAGGGTTTCCTTTAGGATATAAAATGCTCCCCTTCCCAGGCCCCGAGTCCCTTGCTAGGTTCTGTAGCTGATTCTTGGGGGGCGGCCCCGAGTCCCTTGCTAGGTTCTGTAGCTGCAGGAAGCTTTATTGGTTGATTCTTGGTAGGATATAAAATGCTCCCCTTCCCAGGCCCCGAGTCCCTTGCTAGGTTCTGTAGCTGATTCTTGGGGGGCGGGGGACTGGAAGTTCAATGCTCTTCAAACATCTTGTTTTCTAAAATGAATCAAGGCACAAATCTTTGGTGCTCAATGCTCCAGCAATCAGAAGCAACTTTCCCGTAATAAGCCATTGGGTGCAGCACAGGAGCTGAGGAGCGACTCTACAATAATGCACCACTGTGTGTGTAGCAGAGCACTTAAGAGCAACCCTAAAATAACAAAAGCAGGCTGTGCAGGGGGCCAGTGCTCACAAACAGACCTGTGATGACAGACCAGCGAGCCTAGTCCCTAAAGAGGGGAGCAACCCTCTGCTCTCAAAGGTTAAGCTTTAGCGTGAGGTGAAAAGTTGCCTTGCACCTTCCAGGATATGATGCTAAGTGGCACTTCCTATTGACTCTCGCACATGTGCAGGGATGATTCTTTTAGGAAGAGGGAGTTAGGAGGAAAATAAAGCCAGGCTAGATCCAGCAGCATCTGTGCCCTGCTGACCTTGCAGGCTCTTTCTTGTTGCCAGGTAAATAAGTAAGTTACCCTACAACCTGCCTCGCTCATCTCTGAAATGCTACAAAGCCTCAGAGACTCCTAGGGCTGGGCTCGCTGTTGACAACAGCCACAGGAGAAAGGGGCATGCTAAGTGACGAGCAGAGCCCGTTCTGAACAGGAACAGACCACACCTGGGGGCCTGCAGGGGACTCCTAGAGCTCTGAGGTGCTGGGGAAGGTGCAGAGCAGTAGCATGGGGCGCGGTCCAATCTGCTCATTATCAAACCGCTCAGTCAGAAACCAAACCAGCCTTAGCATGACCCATCCCCTTCACCCCAGCTTGCCCTGCCCCATCCAGCAAGCCCTGCAGGCTGGGACTATGTCCGGAAGGAGTCCTGCACCATCAAGATTCTGCATAAATGCGTAAATGAGGGTGGCTCTCAGCCCTGTTCCATCCCCCAAACAGATCAGAGAGCGGAGGCATAGGAAGCTCCGGTGGTTCAAAGGGAAGCCTTGTCCCTCCTTCCTGTGGAAACCTGATCTCTGCCCCCCCCTTACCCTTCCTGAGCTGAAGTGGGGCCCTGGAGACAATGTCGCCTTGTTACAACCACAAAAGGGAAAACCAATGCCCGTAGGGCTCGGGGGCGGGGCGGGAAGGGGAGGTCTGTGAGCCCCCTCCACTGGTGGGTGAAGAGTCTCCCTCCACTGCAGTGTAAACCCAGAACATGCCTGCACGGCGTGAAGCCTTGCTAGTCTTTTTTTATTGCTGTTAGTTATTGCATCGTGAGCCCAGGCTCTAGCTGTGTGAATGTCCTTGCACTTTACAGAGTAGGGAAGGCCCGCTTCCTGCTCTGGAAAACTCAGTCTGCTCATTATTAGGCAAGTGGAGCAGAAACAGATGGTTTATGACAGTACCTGTGCAGGGAGCAGCAAATGGGGGGTACCTCACCTGCCAGCTTTGAGAGGCTGCAGTAGTGGAGCTAATGCTAATCGCAAGGCCTGATTTTTATTGCCTTGGCAGCTGGCCTACTCCTGCCAGACCCACAGAGGAAGTGACAGCCCTGGTGCCTAATTAATTAATACATTGATTGTTTCAACAGCTAAGGCAGATCAGTCCCCTGCCAGGAGAGGGCAAGTGGCAGGCAGCAATGGGCCCACAGGACGGGGACTTGGAAGAATCTCAGTTACAGCACCAGTAACACCATGGGGGAGACAATCTCACCCCAGGACCCTGGCCCACCTCTATGACGGGCCAAACCTGAACACCCCGGATAGCACAGAGGTTGAGATTTAGGTTTTTCACAATGTGGGTCCTTTGCTAGTACAAAGCAAGGTGGCCATAGCCCAGCGGCAGTCCAGCAGCACCCAGTTTGTGCTCTCCATGAGAGGGGCAGGCCCAAGGAAGGTAGGGCCCAGCCTGGGAAGGCCCATCTGGATCCAAGCAGGCAGGTAGCTGCAGCACTGTACTTCAGTAGCACAGAGGTTGAGATTTAGGTTTTTCACAATGTGGGTCCTTTGCTAGTACAAAGCAAGGTGGCCATAGCCCAGCGGCAGTCCAGCAGCACCCAGTTTGTGCTCTCCATGAGAGGGGCAGGCCCAAGGAAGGTAGGGCCCAGCCTGGGAAGGCCCATCTGGATCCAAGCAGGCAGGTAGCTGCAGCACTGTACTTCAGGACCGGAAGCCTCAGAGGCTGCAGCTCTGTACTGAGGATGAGGCTGCTCCAGCGCAGCTCTTGGGTCGGTGGGCAGTTGTCAGATAGTTGGCACCGATTGGATAAAGTTTGGGTGCCCCCTGCTATGAAGTGGAAGATGGAAGGATACAAAATGCCTTTGAGGGGTCTTAGCAACGGCCCAGGGCTTCATGCCCCAGAGATCTCCCATTAGAAGGCAGCTGAATTAGTAATTTGCTGACTTGCAGGTGTGAGTGTATCTGCTCATGAGAGTATTATCTGACAGGATTAGCAGGTGCACGCACGGAATCCCTCCAAACATTCAAAGTGACTAACTGGCTTTCCAGAATCCCCCCACCTGTGGGGTTTGCTGGGACTCCACTCCATAGCTAGTACGCCCCCATGTTGCTTTTGATGTGGGAATGACACTCAAGTCCCATCACCACCAGAACCAGTTATCTTGGCCGGGTGAGTGAGATGGCTGCAGGAATTGTTGTTTGAGTTCCTAGATCAGTTCCAAACCCGGGACCCAAGATTTTCAAGCCCCATCAGCCCTGTTTGTCACACATCCTAGAACCTGTGTCAGGTGCTTCACAGAAGCCACGGACAGTTTGCAGCCCCTGCTCCAAAATACGTATCGTCTCAGTCGCGCTCATGGCAATGAAAGGGAGCAGCTAACCGTATGAAGAGAGCAGAGCAAGGGAACAAAGATGGAAGGTTATTAAGACAAGGGCAATTCCTCCTAAACTGTTATTAAGTCTCCCTGAGGAGCTGTTCGCTTCACTGGCAGCATTAGCCTTTGGGATGACTGTTTAGAGCAGAAATCCCCAGGGGGTGCCCCATGTTCCTGGCAAGCTGTTTCTCTCTGTGTTGTAGAGCAGCTCCCTTGCCTATGGAATCTCTCTGCTCACATGCCAGGATCCCTGCAGGGGGCGGAAGCGCTGGTGGGCACCTTTGCTGTTGTCTGGTAATTGATAGCTTGCTCGCCAGCAGGCTTTCACTCTCTGTAATTGAATCGGTCTGTCTTCTGAGGGCACTTGATGTGCGACCCATAAAATACCTGCCCTCTGTGAGCAGCACAGGCACACTCTGGGTTTTCCACTGACAGTTTCAGCACAGCTGGGGGACCATAACGCCCACAGTCTCTGAGGCTGGGCCGATTCTGGTGATTCATTCCCTCAGGAGCAGCTGGACCACTCATGTCCGTGAGGATAATCCTGCTTTTCAGGAAGGCTGGAGTTTTATGATAGGCAGCAGCACAGCCGCCTCTGGAAACCCAGACACCAGAGACGGGGCTGCTGTATAAATATCAGGCACGCGGGAGAAGAATGGCAAAAAGGAAGAGGAGGAAGCACAGGAACTGCAGTGTGGCCAGTGATGTATCTGAACTGGAGTGTGTATTTTCTGATGGTTAGAGCATGGGTATGCAATCATGAGGCCTACGTTCGAGTCCTGACACTGATTTGCTGTGTTACTATGGGAAAGTCACTTAATTTTTCCATGGATCCCTATCTAAAAAGATATTGATCTACCTCATGGGGTAAGGGGTGGTGGGAGGTATAGCCAGCTGGTATCTGTGAAGTATGTTAGGATTCTTAAATGGGAAGCACTATAGAAGTACAAAGATGTATTGTTTTTAATGGAAATGTCACCTCATCCACCTGGCCCTAAACATTCAGTGATAGATTATTCAGTGTTGCCTGTGAGCAACTACAGGCCTAATCTGCACAATCAATTGCCTTGATTGTATGCAAAAGGTATCCATTTGTATGGTTCGAAAATACTTAGTGAGATTTATAAATGGTCAATTGTGCACCCAAAAACCCAGCTTGTAAATGTACAAAAACTTTGCATGCAGATTAGATGTACAGTTGTATGTGTAGTACGAACGTAAGAACAGTTACACTGGGTCAACGAGTGGTCCTTCTATCCCAGTATCCTGTCTTCTGGCAGTGGATAGTCCCAGATGCTTAAGAGGAAATAAACAGAGCAAGGAAATTTTGTGTGATTCATCCCCTGTTGCTCAGTCCTTGTTTCTAGCAGTGGAAGGCTTAGGAGCAACTGGAACTAAGAGCCAAGGATGGAATTATTCTCCATGAACATATCTAATTATTTTTTTAACCCAGTTATACTTTCAGCCTTCATAACATTTCCTAGCAATGAGTTCCACAGGTTAATGCATTGTATGAAGAAGTACTTCCTTTGTTTGTTTTAAACCTGCTGCTTATTCATTTAATTGGGTGACCCCTTAGTTCTTATGTTATCAGAAGAGGTAAATAACACTTCTTATACCCTTCCTGATTTTACATATCTAATCATACTCCCACTTCATCACTTCTTTCTAAAATGAATAGTCCTGCTCTTAATCACCTCTCGTATTGAAGCTCTCCAATACTCATAGTCATCTTCATTACCCTTGACTGCACCTTCCATTATAATATATCTTTTTAAGATGGGCTGCTCAGAACTGCATACAGTATTCAAGGTGTGTGTGCGTGTACAATTGATTTATATCATGGCATTATGATATTTTCTGTTTTATTATTTATCCCTTTCCTAATGGTTCCCAATATAGGTTTTCAACTGCTGCAGCACATTGAGTGGATATTTTTTAGTCATCCATGACAACTCCAAGATCTCTTTCTGGCATGGTAACAGCTAATTTAGATCCTCTCATTTTGAATGTATATTTGGGATGATTTTATCCAATGTGCATTATTTTGCCCTTATCATTGCTGAATTCCATCTGCAATTCTGTTGCCCTATCACCCGCTTTAATGAAATCCTTTTGTAACCGTAGTCTGCTTTGGATTTGACTATCTTGACTATCGAAATAATGGGCATGCTATTTCACCATCCCGGTAAACCTAGTAGCACGAGGGATAAGGGATGGCTTGAAACAGTGTGTTATTTTGAAATTTGGTACTGTGTAGATGTGCCACATTTCAAAATAAGCTATTTCAAAATAGATTCAAAATAAGATATGCAATTTGCATAGTGCAAATTCCGTATCTTATTTTGAGTTTAGGGTGCAGACCCACACCCTAAGTGTTTCCTTAAATTGTTACTCCCAGCGATGTAACTTGCCCACTACACCAATTAATCAGCCTCTGTGAGAAGCATAGCGCTTAGGCTGATGTTGTCAGGTCAGCACAGTGTCAGTGCAGACACCGCGTTGTTCCCATCAACTGTTGCTGCCTTTCAGAAGCCATCCCACAATGTCTGACACTGACAGTTAACTACGTGCAAGTGCTTCTGGTGAGGACGTGCACCACTAACATGAGAAGCGTACTGTGGAAATGCAAATCTGATTTAATTACTGTGTGGCTGTATGTTGATGTAATTCAGGCCGGGTCCACACGACAGGGGAAAGCTGGATTAAGATACACAATTCCAGCTATGTAAAAAAGATAGCTGAAGTTGATGTACCTGAAACCAAGCTTCGGTGCCATTCTCACAGCAGGAGGTCAACAGGAGAAATGCTCTCATCGACTTCCCTTACTTCACAAGAGAAGTAGGAGTACTGGCGCCAACGGGGGCACCCTCAGCATTTGATTTAGTGAGCCTTTACTAGACCTGCTAAATCGAATGCCTGAAGATTGACCACTGCAGTGTCAATCTTCCACAAGTGGAGATGTGGCCTTAGGTTGACCTAACTTTGTAGTGTAGACTTCTCCTGATTATCTTACAATATGCTGTCACTTTGGACCTTTTGAATAACTCCCCCAATCCTAAGGAATTTCACAAGCGAATCATTGGACAGTGATGATTTACAGCTCTATACAAACCAGTGCTAACATACACTGACAAGGACACTTCATAGAAATCTCATTGTTATGCAGAAAAGGCCAATCTTTAATCCCCCATTGTCTGAGCAGTGAAGGCTGCTTAATATCTCTCTCTGCAGAGTGCCCTGCTGTGTAACCCATGAGCACTGATTTATTTAGCTCTAATGCAGTGGTGTATTTTGAAACCCTCCCCTGTGTTTCTGAGCAGAATTCCATCGCGCAGAAGAACTGGGACCATTCCAGGAGTTTTCAGACACCCTCATGCCTCCCCCTGAAGTTTCTTCATTTTTTGTAGTTCCTCACACGCTAGTTTGGGCTTCACACACAAACCATAGTTACTTTGCAATGGACTCAGCCATAACTGGAGCAGAGGAAGTTCCTCTGATCTGCCCCAGCTCTGACATTTCCTAGGGTCATTGGGTAATGTCACAGCAGCTCTCACCGCAATCCCGTTTCCTTGTAGGGGTGTTTAATGGGAGGTGGGTGGGGCAGTTGATATGAAAGGCAAGTCACAACCCTGATGTTTCATCGTAGCCGCAGAGTGTCATTACTCCTCTGCCGCTGAAATGTCATCTGGTAGTGTGGGTGGTGAGGTGTCTCATCACTCAGCCAGCCGAGGGGAGCGAAAATAGGGAGAGAAGGTTGTGCGGAGACATGTCATCTGGCAGCTAAGGTCAGTGGGAAGTCCTTACCCCATAGCTGTGTCTAGACTGGCAAGTTTTTCGGGAAAATCAGCAGCTTTTCCGGAAAAACTTGCCAGCTGTCTTCACTGGCCGCTTGAATTTCCGGAAAAGCACTGACGATCTCATGTAAGATCATTAGTGCTTTTCCGGAAATACTATACTGCTCCCGTTCGGGCAAAAGTCCCTTTTGTGCAAAACTTTTGCGCAAAAGGGCCAGTGTAGACAGCTCTGATTTGTTTTCCGCAAAAAAGCCCCGATCGCGAAAATGGCGATCGGAACTTTTTTGCACAAAAGCGCGTCTAGATTGGCCATGGACGCTTTTCTGCAAAAAGTGCTTTTGCGGAAAAGCATCTGTGCCAATCTAGACGAGCTTTTCTGAAAATGCTTTTAACTGAAAAGTTTTCTGTTAAAAGCATTTTTGGAAAATCATGCCAGTGTAGACGTAGCCATAGTGTGCTGCACCACACAGGTGTTGCTACCTAGGGAGTGCCTTCCAAGGCTTCAAAATAGTTTAAAAACAAAAAAGTTGATTGTGTGGGCGGGGGGAAGCGGGTGTTAGGGTGTCTCTCCAAAAGCAAATATAGAGGGACATGTGTCACAGGTGGCCACTCAAAGGAGCAGCAGAAACTCGACATGCCGTCATGATGGGTCAAGCAATTGTATGGTGGAAACCTTGGGGCTCCTGCCAAGGGTTATCGCTTCATGCAGGTACCACTGCAGCAAGCATGGCAGTGTCTGTCCTTGCAGCATGATGGGGAGCGGTCATGGGTTAGTGTGATGATAGTAAAGAGAAGAGGAAGCTTCACAGTAACCTGTGGGTGTGAATGTGCGGCGCCACCAAGCGATTGCTCTGTACTGGGCCAGTTCTGCCGCAGCGACTTTATAAGCACCTCACAAAGCCGCCTACCTCGATACTCGAGTTTCCTCTTCTCCAGCTCGGCCTCAATCTGATCAAGCACCATTCCCAGCTCGCCGAGGATTTTCTTCAAGTAGCTGACATTGTCGTGTTCCAGGATCTTGGCCTGCATCGAAGCCAAAGGGTTACACTGACTGGCACCGAGACCGAACGTTCCTCGCACAGGTGCTCTCCTACCCCTTCCTCGTCCTAATTAGTCAACAGCTGCGGGAGGATTTCAGCAGGCTCTGGGGAGGCGATTCACCTGTGTAAAACTGACTCCTTGCTGGAACCTACTCAACCAGGGGAGGTGACTTCCATTTGAGCCCAGCCAAGTTCCTACTAGCTTTGGCTAAGAGAAAGCAACTCCTTGGCTAAGCCCAAGGCAACTTCCAACGGAGACCAGCTCAGCAGCACAGCTTCTAATGGCTCAGCAAAGTGTGTGGGGGAGGACTTCCAGGTGAGAATAGCTCCAGCTGAGCTCTCGCCTCTTTGACTGGAGGAAGCAACTCCCAGGTAAGAGCAGCTCAGAATAAATCCTATTGGATCAGCCAGCGAGAAGCGCCCTTTGGGCTCATATAATGGCGCTGCTACCTGGAGACCACTGAAGGCCTCACTGGCCTCCCAGTTGCAGGGCACCCCATAGTAATCCAGCCTCAGAGAGGGGTGACAGCAAAGAAAGACTGTACTAATGTTACCAGCTCCCTCGGGTGTCTGGTTCCCCAAGGGTACAGACACATCGGGGTGACGTGAGAAGGAATGTTCAGTACTTTAGAACAGACCTTTTAAACCAAATGTTCCCCCGTCGCTCAGTGGTACCAGCTCTCCCTCCCCCAGCCACTCCCCGCAATGAGTGCTCGTGGCTGTTCTATCCTCCCTCTGCCTCCTAGGAATCAAGTCCCATGTGTTGCTGTAGGTGACTTACCATGAGTTTCTTCTGTTTGGAAAGGTACGGCTCAGTCAGCTGGGGCTCCCCTTCATAGTCCAGCTTCATCAGCTCAGTGCTGGCGTTAGCGAGGTGTCCTGGGGGGAAGACAGAAGGAAGGGTCGTGGGGAGCTGTTGCACCCTCCTGCACTGCAGACAGAAGGCTACTTTCCGCAGTGGTGATGCTGACCTGGCGCTGTGTGAAAAGAGCCTCATTCTGGCTACGAAACCATCATTCTCCCCCCCCAATCATTACATCAGGCACAGTGGATTCTACTACATACCTGGCTGCAGGTGTAGCCTTATATGTATAACTTCAAGAGTTGTACCCTGATACCAGGGCTGAATTCGATCCAGGAATAACGTGACAAAGATACACTTCTAGCTGGGGACTAGTCAATATTCTGCACCTGGGTAAGGAGCAGCTATTTTTGCAGCCAAAAGCTGCCCATGGGCCTCGTGACTGTGAAAAGCTGGTAAAAATATGAAGGTAGACCCCCAGGCAGGGTAGACTGGTGACATTGTATTGCAATCAGTGCAGACTGTCTAAGGATCTGGCCCATTAACTTCCACAGCAAATATTTGCTGAGTCCCAGTTGGCCATTTTGTTCCGTTCTGTCAGGTTTACCCTTGGAGAGTATAACTGATAGGCCTTTACGAGCACAATCTAGGGAAGACGGTTTGAAAACGAGGCCTTTAGTCTGTAAATCATTTTGGGGGGGGGGGCAGGTAATGTAAAAAGCACTACGTGAATGTGCAAGGACTTACAACCCCAGAAAGCACATCCGCGTATGCTTAAATCCTATTGAAACTGGTGCTTCTCTGAATCTGGACCCTGTTGAGCAATATTCTGTTCTCAGCGGTGCTGGTGGTTTCAGTGCAGTTGCTCCGGCTTTTACAAGAACTGCAGCTGAGATCTGAATCTGGTTTATTGGTACTAATGGTAGTTAATAAGCCACAGCCTGATGTAAGCGAGAGATGAGACTTTCCATTGTGAGCAGGGTGCGTGGCCAGCTCCCTCGCACCAGGCAGATACATTCTACCCCCATCAGCAATGAGTACGAGTAGCCTCCCTGGGCAAGTTCATGGCCTGAGCCTGCATTCCTTTGGCATCCTAAACTCCCAGTGAAGTGACTAGGATTTGGGGATGGGGCAGGAATACCGAACTTGGCCGATAGTAATAACACCTTAAGTATAAACAGGTGGACAGCAGGGCATGTGGCCCCACTGCCCCTTTCTCTGAGAGCCTCATATCCAGGACACGCTGCTTTTGGTAGCCGATGAAGCAGCGAATTTTTTGACAGGGGGACCAGTAAATCCATTCACGAGCTTTTGGAGGATTGGTAACATTCATTTGCATATTTGCATATTCATTAAGCACATTATGACTATTCAAATAAGTTGTTTCTGGTCCTCCCAAAGCCCCCAGTGCCAGCGTTAGCAAAGCTTTTGATACCGTCACCCACAATATTCTCGCCAGCAAGTTAAGGGACTATGCATTGGATAAATGGACTGTAAGATGGATAGAAAGTTGACTAGACCAGGGTTTCCCAAACTTTTTACTTTCGTTGGAACCTGTTTTTTTCAGTACTGGTTTTTGCAACCCAAAAATATAAACGCATATAAAAAAAATTAAAAATTAAAACTTTTTCAGTGTTTCACCCGGCTGCATCCTCCCCCCAGCCTGGGCCACAGCTTGGGGGACCCAGCGCCGCATGGGCACTCCAGGAGGCGGGAGCAGGAGCAGATTGGGGATAGGGTATCTGCTAGGAAGGAGGGTGGAAGGAGGGGTAGGGTTGCCAGATTTCCGGTTTTGTATCGGACAGTCCAGTATTTGAGGGTTTTGTCCAGGAAACAAATTGAGAAAATACCGGACATATAAAATGTCCAGTATTTTCTAATTCGGTAAGTTTTATTATTATTAGGTGTATCAGTCCTTAGCTGGGAACTGCCTGGCTCGTAGATGTGCTCATGCTGCGTGAGTGTGTCTACCAGCCAGGCAATTCGCAACTACTCGTGGGAGGGAAGTGGCAGGGGAGCAAAATGGAATCCCCAAGGCTGGACTCACTTGTGTGCATGTGCCCTGGTCAGTCCCGCTCCCCCCTTTCTCCTCCCGATCTCCCCAGTCCAGCCCTGCTTCCGGCAGCTGATTCTCCCGTCCTCCTCCTCCTGATCTCCCCCGGCCAGCTCCCCCCCCACCGTGCAGCCCTGGTTCCGCCGCCTGCCCTCTCGCATCTCCGCCGCCGAACAGCCCCATTACCCCCAACCCTGCTTTCGCTGCCCACCCTCCCGGATCTCTGCGGAACAGACCCACCGCTCCCAGCCCTGCTGTGGCCCCCTGCCC